GGTGCTAACTCCTAAACCTAAAAACAAAATATTTTATATAAACTCTAGCATGGTGTTAGGACCCCACTGACATTTTCCTGAGAATTCTCTCTCGATTCTTCTATAGTTTTGGGGATAACCTAATTGTATTGCACCTGTGATTTGGACTGAAAAGCAATTTACCTTGTTTGTTTCACAGGCCCTGTAACTATGTGAATTTGGATAAAAAGGGTAGAAATGCCACGGGATTTGCATTAAGGATTAATGTGAAACTCTGGAGTGTTTGTTATGAGCAGAGAAAGTTGTGCTCTGAGCTTTCTCTGGGTTTTGTAGTCCTGGATTGGGCCTGGAGTTTGAAGGTTCCACAGTGTCTTGGGTGGGACAGACCCTTCAATCCTGTGTCTGTATTTTGCGAGACATCTGAAGCCTGTGTGAGTGCACAGATATGCAAGGTCGTTATTAGCCAGGTTTCAGAGCAGGAGGAGTTGCAGTTGCTGCCATTTGAAGACAGAGCCCTCTTAGGAGAGCTGGGCATTCCTGATTGGGTCAGCATCCCTTGTGAGGGGGATTTCTTGTACAAGGAGTGGGAGAGTTGAGACAGCTATGCGAGTCTGGGAGAGGGTTTGGGAGGATGAGAAAGCTGAGGCAGCTAGAAGGTCCATGGGACTGGAGTAAATCTGTAAGTCACGGGAAGAGGGAGCAAGCTCGAGGGGCTGGAGAACCCCATTTAGGGGCCAGGAGTAGGCCTGTGAAGTGAGGTGCTGCAATGGAGGCTGAATGAGCCGCAAGAACCCTGCTGACAATGGAGCTAGGTGGCTTGGCATTTTTTGCTTGCTTGGTGAAGTTGAAACCCCTGCATGGACAACTTTGAATGGACCTTTAATTTAATTAAAAGTGGGCTTAAATTGAAGTTCAGACTGATGTGGACTAACTTAAAAAGCATCTACCATTGAGCCTAACCATCCCCCATATCAATATATATATTGTGGCAGTGCGGTATCCTGTCATGGTAGAAATCACAGTGGTGACCCCAGGATTCTCGACTATACAGGTTGAGGGGCACCAGGCAGTTTTCATAATGCAGAGGAAACTGGTTTATCAGTTTCCTCTTTGGTTTGTAAAGCCCGTTTTGGGACCTGTGGCCTGGAGATTTCTAAGAGATTTGGGAGGGATGAAATCTCCAATCCTGGGTCCAGGTTTTGAGAGCAGTCAGCACACTGATTGCGCAGGTGTGTGCAGGCCTTTTTGTAGAGGTCCAAACCATGATTCTGGGCTCCACCCCGGCAGACAGGAGGTCACTGTCTTGGAGTCAGGTGGGCTTCACCTAGGAGAGGTGGAAGCCAGAGTAGCTGTGTGCTAGGGGCTAGCTGTGTGTTAAAGGCCCTTTTGGAAGGAGTCTGTAGGAGACAGACGTAAAGCGGTATATAGGAGAGAGCCAGAAGGCTGAATATTGTTTCATTTGATTGATGGTGGATACCCCTGTCTGGGAAGCATGTATTGAACTTTCGGTTAAATAAAATTGGGCTAAAAGGTCTTTAAAAAGAAGAAGAAGCGAGTTGCTGTGTGCTTTTAAAAATAAAAGCTCTACCATTTTGATGCGAGTTCTCACTCTATATATATATATATATATATATATATATATATATAATTAAAAACTCCTGCCCAAAAAAATTCCAAAAGCTCCAAAATTCACGTTTAGGAGCAGCAGTGTACATGAGGCCTTAACCACTTGCCCTCTTGAGGATTTACCCCCCTTCCTGACCAGGACAATTTTTGCGATACAGCGCTGTGTTGCTTTAACTGACAATTGTGTGGTCCTGCAACACTATATAAAAATGAAATTTATGTCATTTTTTTCCCACAAATCGATCTTTCTTTTGGTAGTATTTAATCACCTCTTTGTTTTTTATTTGCACTATAAACAAAAAAAGACTTTTTATTTTATTTGCACTATAAACAAAAAAAAAACATTTTGAAAAAAAAAAACTATATATTTTACTTTTTGCTATAAAACATATCAAATAAAAAAATTTAAAAATCACATTTCTTCATAAATTTAGCCCAATATGTATTCTGTTACATGTATTTTCTACAAAAAAATCTCAATACTTGTAAATTAATTTGTTTACGTGAAAGTTGTAGCGTCTACAAATGGCATTCTGCTGTGCAGAGAGATACAAAACAGCATGTCCATGCTGACAGGAGAGAGACCTGTGTTGTTTACACACAAACCTCTCCCCTGTCAGCTTTACCCAACGATCACCGAGTTCCGGCTGGGACCTGGTGATTGACATCCTTAGCCTCCAATAGCGGCGCGGGTAGGGTGGCGCGTGTGCATCCCCTACCCGGAAATGCAAATCATATATATATATACAGTGAGGAATAGAAGTATTTGAACACTCTGCAATTTTGCAAGTTCTCCCACTTAGAAATCATGCAGGGGTCTGAAATTCACATTGTAGGTGCATTCCCACTCTGAGAGACAGAATTTTAAAAAAAAATTCAGGAAATTACATTGTATGATTTTTAAAGAATTTATTTGTCTTGCACTGCTGAACATAAGTATTTGAACACCTGAGAAAATCAGTGTTAATATTTGGTACAGAATCCTTTGTTTGCAATTACAGAGGTCAAACGTTTCCTGTAGTTCTTGACCAGGTTTGCACACACTGCAACAGGGATTTTGGCCCACTCCTCCACACAGATCTCCTCTAGATCTGTCAGGTTTCGGGGCTGTCGCTGAGCAACACAGAGTTTCAGCTCCTTCCAAAGATGTTCTATTGGATTTAGGTCTGGAGACTGGCTAGGCTACTCCAGAACCTTGATATGCTTCATACAGAGCCACTCCTTGGTTATCCTGGCTGTGTGCTTCGGGCCGTTGTCATGTTGGAAGACCCAGCCACGACCCATCTTCAATGCTCTGACTGAGGGAAGGGGGTTGTTGCTCAAAATCTCACAATAAATGGCCCCATTCATCCTCTCCTTAATACAGTGCAGTTGTCCTGTCCCCTTCACAGAAAAGCACCCTAAAGCATGATGTTACCACCCCCATGCTTCACAGTAGGGATGGTGTTCTTGGGATGCAACTCATCCTTTTTCCTCCAAACACGACGAGTGAAGTTTAGACCAAAAAGTTCTACTTTGGTCTCATCTGACCACATGACTTTCTCCCATGCCTCCTCTGGATCATCCAGATGGTCATTGGCAAACTTCAGACGGGCCTGGACATGTGATGGCTTGAGCAGGGGAACCTTCCGTGCAATGCATGATTTGAAACCATGACGGCGTAGTGTACTACCGACAGTGACCTTTGAAACTGTGGTCCCAGCTCTCTTCATGTCATTGACCAGCTCCTCCCTTGTAGTTCTGGGCTGATTCCCCATCTTTCTTATCATCAGCGATACCCCACGAGGTGAGATCTTGCAGTCCGAGGGAGACTGACAGTCGTCTTTAGCCTCCTCCATTTTCTAACAATTGCTCCAACAGTTCATCTATTTTCACCAAGCTGCTTGGCAATTGCCCCGTAGCCCTTTCCAACCTTGTGGAGGTCCACAATTTTGTCTCTGGTGTCTTTTGACAGCTCTTTAGTCTTGCCCATGGTAGTAGTTGGCGTCTGACTGACTGTGGGGTGGACAGGTGTCTTTAAAGAGCTCAGACAGGTGCTACTAAGTTAGATTAATGAGTGGAGTAGAGGTGGATTTTTAAAGGCACAGTAACAGGTCTTTGAGAGCCAGAATTCTTGCTGTTTCTTAGGTGTTCACATACTTATGTTCAGCAGTGCAAGACAAATAAATTCTTTAAAAATCATACAATGTGATTTCCTGAATTTTTTTTTTAATTCTGTCTCTCAGAGTGGGAATGAACCTACAATGTGAATTTCAGACCTCTCCATGATTTCTAAGTGGGAAAACTTGCAAAATCGCAGGGTGTTCAAATACTTCTGTTCCTCACTGTATATATATATATATATATATATATATATATATATATATATGATTTTGCGCAGCCCTACCGCCCTGTAGCAGTACTTCTACTATAGGATGGTGGGAGGGTGGTTAAAAAAAAAAACTTGTTGCTGAAAAGAAGAAACAACAAGGTTTTTACTTTTATTACTCCATTTTACTTTGTTACTAGAGGCCTTACTGTTCTGACTACAGGCCTAAGCTCCACCACCCACTAGCCCCTGTAATATAGAAGAACCCTTACTGCCCATCCTCTCAGGCACTGTTATTTGACAGGGGGCTGAAGAACTTAATCATTTAGCCAGGGAAATCAGGTCTCTTTTAAGACACTGAAATGGCAGATGGATTCACTTTAAAGTGTAACTAAAGACAAACCTTGTTTTTCATTTTGGATAGAGTAAGAGTGGGTTATAACCCCTGGCAGCTTCTTTTTAAATCTGTGTCCCATAGGAGGATTTCCCTTTACTTTCTCTTCCATAGCCAAAAAAGGAAATTAGAGGAAATCTCACTAAAGTAAGGGAATCTAGGGATGTCATCAGAGTCACCAGAACTAGTGCCCCCCCATGGAAGCTTTCCTCTCTATTACTGTTTATAGGTAAAATTGATCCAGGGAATATCCGATTGCCTCTCGGGGGATCAGGAAAGAATTTTTTTTCCCCTGCAGGAGCAAATTGGATCTTGCTTTGCTGTTTTTTTTGCCTTCCTCTGGATCAATGGTTTGTATGGGATTATGGGATTGTCAATTCAAGATGTGTGATTTTCTTTGACTTTCATTTTCAATGATAACAGTAAATAGGACAAATAGAGAGGGTGAATCTCCCTAATGAGGGCACAAACAGCAATAAAAATTTACAGGGGTTCTAACCCTTCTCCACTCTCCACTTTACACCTAAAGGTTGTAACCAGTAGAAAATAGGCTTGTGAGAATGGAAGAAAATAGCTAAATTGAGAAGGATTGCAGAACAGGTATGGAGAGTGGGATAGGTAGGTACTATATGTATTACCGTATTTTTCGCTCCATAAGATGCACTTTTTTTCCCCAAATAAAGGGGGGAAAATGTTAGTGCGTCTTATGGAGCGAATATGGAGCAGCTGGTCCGGTATTTCCACCACCGCCGTGTCAGAATATCGGGCTGGCCGCTCAGCCCTGCAGCGGGACCTTATGGAGATGACTGCTGACCTTTGGGGAGGTGGGGAGCGGGTACCTGAATTTGACAGGTACCCGCTCTTACTTCCGCGGAGTTGTTCTTTGACCTTACCTGTTCCTCTATCCAGCGGCGCGCTGTCTTCCCGGCTTCTGTAGTGTCGGCGCTGGGCTTGGCAGCCGGGTGCCAAGTGCGCATGCGCAAGAAGCGGTGCTTTTTGTGAATGGTAAGGCGGTACCTGGGACACATGACCCCAGAAGCCGCCGGACCAGTCACAAAGCGCAGCGCTTCTCGCTCATGCGCACTGGGCACCCGGCTGTCATGCCGAGCACCGACACTACAGAAGCCGGGAAGACAGCGCGCGGCTGGATAGAGGAACAGGTAAGATCAAAGAACAACTCCGCGGAAGTAAGAGCGGGTACCTGTCAAATTCAGGTACCCGCTCCCCCCCCTTCCCCAAAGGTCAGCAGTCATCTCCTGTACTGTCCGCAGTCTCTGGTCATCCCTGTGCTGTCCGCAGTCTCTGGTCATCCCTGTGCTGTCCGCAGTCTCTGGTCATCCCTGTGCTGTCCGCAGTCTCTGGTCATCTCCTGTACTGTCCGCAGTCTCTGGTCATCCCTGTGCTGTCCGCAGTCTCTGGTCATCCCTGTGCTGTCCGCAGTCTCTGGTCATCCCTTTGCTGTCCGCAGTCTCTGGTCATCTCCTGTACTATGTCTGCAGTCTCTGGTCATCTCCTGTACTATGTCTGCAGTCCTTTAGTTCAGAATTTTTTCCCCCCTGTTTTCTGCCTCTAAAACCTAGGTGCGTCTTATGGTCAGGTGCGTCTTATGGAGCGAAAAATACGGTATGTTGTTAGTGCGCAGGAGTACTGAAAATTACCAGTGTTGGCAAATAGGGAATATTAAGCGGTTACACCCATTAAGTGTATAGAAGACTTGAATACCTTCAAAAGTGAGGGGTGCTGCTCAGGACACATAGTTTTTCTCATAGGTTTCTACCATCTATGCTATTTTCTACATCTAAAAAAAATTGTAAAGTGGCTGGATCATGCAGGCACACCACCATTGATCCATCTTCTCTCAAAAACTCTATTTACCAGCAAAGTGATCAGCAGGTAGGTTTGTGGTTGCTACAGAGAAGATTTGGCACATTTTCCGAAGTGACAATCTGCAATTACCACGTCATTCCAAGGAGGTGATGGTATTGTGTCAGGAGCTCCCTGCTCTGACCAAGACTGACAAGCAGCCTCTCTGCCTGCGAGTTATTATAGCTAAAGCAAACACTCAGCCTTAGAAAGCTGTTTACACTTTTTCCTAACCCAGTAAATTGGAATCTTGTTTTAATCCTCACTTCAAATAACCCAACAATTTCTTGTGAGAAGTGATGATCATCTGCTAAGCCTCCAAGAATAACAGAGAATCTATAAGAGGTCATGGAAGTGTATGGATTGGCAATTTCCCTACCGCTTAGCAGAGAGATCAGAAAACTATGAGGTCATCAGAACAGGATAAATTTTACAGGATAACCTGTTCCTTGCATAACATTCCCCTTTCCTTTGCCAAGAAAATCTGGAAAATACAGCGGTCCTGTTTTTGTATTAGATATTCTACGACTTCAAATGTACTGGAAAGAAACATAATCTTGTTATTAACTTTAATTTCACTTGATACGCCAAAAATACAACTATATTTTGTTAGGGATCAATATCTTGTAAAGAAGAGTAGAAAGGCAAGCACTGTCCTTTTTCAGTAGTGAAGTTTTAAAGCACAATTGCACCCTTTTAGTGTATTAATGTAATGCAATCAAATTGCATATGCAGCGATAATGCACCTCTTTTATATTTATTTTTTAACTTTTTTTTTAATCTTCTAAGTGTTGCAAACAAGGTTTTTGGTTTTAATACCACTTTAAACTCACCTGTCTCTGATCCAGCAAGATAGCTCCCATGAAGCAACTTGTCTCTTGACTCTTGAACACTGTACACTCTTCAGTAAGAAGGATGAACTGCCCACAGTGCCTGCAGTTACAGAGGTCAGTGAGGGTTTGTTTGAAAACAAATGTACTGCTTGCAGGGGTGGACTGACCATTTGGAAACTCGGGCACTGCCCGAGGGCCCAGGGTCAGTAGGGGGCCCCATGAGATACCTTTTTCATAGGCTTTTTTGAGTTTGGGAAAGGACACAGGGACCCCATGATCCCCTATTGCCCGGGGGCCCCATGAGTTGTCGGTCCCCCCTGACTGCTTGTTAAAAATATAATGTAATATAATAATATATAATGTGCAAAGCCTGGCAACAGATTCACTTTAAGGTGCTGGTTATATAGTCTTAAGATGGCTTTAATTTATTTTTCCTCAATATAGGTTTGCAAATGATGTCATAAATTTGTGTACAGTGACATATCTATGGGACGAATCCTGTACATTCCATTTCCATAGCCAATGGGCTAATTATTTTGTAGTATTTTACTGTACTGCTCACCTATGGTATAGTTGACATCAAGAACCCTAAAATACGTAAGATGTGTTCAACTCCTGTTCAAAAATGTAAAATTTGTTTCATGTAGTCAACAATCCAGGCAGTAACATTATATTATGAAATGCTTTCATTTCTCTTTTAGGATAAAGTCAACACTGAAATTAGCAAGCAAAGCTTTAACGGATGCAGCATTCCTAGAATTCATAGTTGTTTTATCTTTGTACTGTATTACTTCTGCTTATCTCTTTTTATGGTTCTCAAAATAATTTGAGTTTATTTTCACTAATAGTAGCCACAACACAACAGACATTGAGAATACTCGGATCAAGAATGAAAATACTCTTCTAGGCAGCATATTTCCTATGGCTCTTCCATGTTGGGTAAATATTTCAAGATTACTATGAGACTCACCCAGCCTTGAAATTATCACCTTGTACCATAGCCAGCTGAAAAAATATTATACCTGTTATACCTTGTTATACCAGAGTACAGCACCTGAACAGGGAATGGACGGTAGTCTGTATCTATAACAATGACTATAGAATATTGGTTACAGTGTTAAGTCAAATCAGCCACTTAGATGTTATTTTGCTATGGTAAAACCAATATAAAAATGTGATTGTTTTCTGGGGAGTAGTATACTGTGCACATAGTATTTTGTCTTAGTAAAGTAGGACTCTATCGAAAAAATGTTCAGCTTTGTGTGGTTGCTAACAAGCTGCATTACATGTGAAGGCTGACTTACCAGGGGAGCTGAGAATCTTCACACAATAAGTTTTGTAGATGTTCACTTCAATTAGCCAATCATGTGAAAAGGTAATTCATCTTTACTTATTTCACCTGCACTTGGTTGTGTAGGCAAATTGAAGAGGAATTTGCTTGCTTTAAATTTATAAATGTATTGTGTGAAAAACCGCAACACTTTTAGTAAATAAGCTCAATTACCTTCTCATATCCTTTGGGCAATTCTCAGCAAACGATGGTGTATTATTTCTTTATTATTGTAAAATAATGTGATGTAGCTGAAAGAGAGAGACACTTTCATTTTGTTGTAAAAGGACAAATCAAAGCTTACTGTGGAGAAAATTATCTGATAAATATTAAAAGCCAGTTAGCTCAGTTCACTGGCGGTCTAAACGTACTCCCACAATGAAAAAATGGCTAACAAGGGTCACCCACATTGCAGAGATGGAAGAATTGATTTAACAGCAGAGAATTTCTACATTCTCAAAAACATGAGCCTGTTCAACACACTACATTAAAACCCTTGCATATAAAATCCTCCTTTCAGAAGTTGAGTGACCAAAATACTGCATGCCCAAGGTGAAAAGGGACTGCAGAAAGGTTCATCCTGCAAGACTCTATTGTCCTTTAAGATGTCTTTCTTTCTCTATTCGTTGATCGGCTGGCTGAGCCACACTGAGAGATTCTCCCCTAATCAGAACTCTACACAGAGGTGCATAGCAGTGGAGATGGGGGGCTCTTGCTATCTTCTCACCACCCTTGTCCCGCTCTTACTGCCCCCTTCTCCTTTCACCCCCCCACACCCCCCTAATTTCTTTCTCTGTTCCTCCTTGGTTCTTACTCTGCCCCTAGCTTAACCCACTAGCCTTCAGCAGTGGCACATAAGGTAATTCTTAAAGTTACCCATAACCATCTTACCAGGTAAGTCACCTCTTCTAAAGTTTCCTTCTAATACTTAACCTCCAGCTAGGCCTTGAGGGGGCTATTGGAGCGCTGGAATACTGAATGTACTCAGCTACCCTTTCTCTAGAGGTCTGAAATACTACCGATGCGATATTGATCCCTCTTAGGAGCATCTTTCTGTGTGTTTTTGTTTGGCTGTTCGCTGTTACCTTATTGTAATGTATCAGCAAATATTTCCTTGTTGGGAAGATTACAAAGCTGTTGGTTTCACGCTTCTGGATTTTTATGCATTGCTCTTGTATCTTGTTCATGAGAATGTATCTAGCATTGTGTATTCTGACAAATATTATAATGAAGTTTCTTATGGAACAAAAGCCAGTTAGTTGTGCAACCTAGCCTAGGCAAAAGCAAATATCAGTTTTGGATAGAGTTGATTTGGTTAGAGTATAGTTGCCATATAACTTCATTCAAACAATGCTATATATGCATGCATGCTAAATACATATTGTTTGTACCCGTTGTAAAAGGATCACTCATTTCTAAGATCTTTAATTTGGCAACTACATCAGTATTTCTCAACAAAGGGTTTGGGTGAGAATACTTTGGGTGTAAGGTAGGTATAGGTCCTATATTTCATGTAACAAGTTACAAATTTTACAATAGTGCCGCTCTCCTAATTGCTGATAAATAACAAAAAAAATATAATTATATAATCGTGTAATACCAAATAATATCTCTTATTATTAACAAAGTGAAAAAACATAAATTGTGACTAGTGAAAACCAACCAATATTCAATGTGCACAAAAATGAATATGGTCAAAAAATAATAAATAGTGAATAAATTAGTCTCTGGTGGTACACGTGACAAGTCCAAGGTGATATTAGATCCAATTCCCAGTAATTTTTATTATAATCTTATTATGTGCTCACCTCATACAAAGCCTATGAAAAGGCTAAAACAGTTTATGTTCACCAAATGGAACTATATCCATGAATTGCACCGTAGCAGTAATGGTGGTTACTCCTTCAACGTGGCTCTCCTCTCCTGCCACTATCCCCACAGTATTTTTAAAATATAGAGCCTTTAATGTGTGCCCATTAAAGGCTCTATATTTTAAAAGGATAAGACACTATGGGGTTTATTTACTAAAGCTGGAGAGTCCAAAATCAGACTCCCTTCTGCATAGAAACCAATCAGCTTCCAGGTTTCATTGCCAAAGCTTCATTGAACAAGCTGAGGTTAGAAGCTGATTGGTTTCTATGCAGAAGGGAGTCTGATTTTGGACTCTCCAGCTTTAGTAAATAAACCCCTATGTCTCTATTTTTTCTTATACTGAGGGATATACCAAGGAGGAGTGTTCCAGTCTATTAAGAGAGTGAGAGATCCCTGTGGGGATAGTGGCAGGAGAGGAGAGCCACGTTGAAGGAGTAACCACCATTACTGCTACGGTGCAATTCATGGATATAGTTCCATTTGGTGAACATAAGCTGTTTTAGCCTTTTCATAGGCTTTGTATGAGGTGAGCGCATAATAAGATTATAATAAAAATCACTGGGAATTGGATCTAATATCACTTTAGACTTGTCACGTGTACCACCAGAGACTGATTTATTCACTATTTATTATTTTTTGACCATATTCATTTTTGTGCACATTGAATATTGGTTGGTTTTCACTAGTCACAATTTATGTTTTTTCACTTTGTTAATAAAAAAGAGATATTATTTGGTATTACACTATCATATAGGTATATTTTTTTTGTTATTTATCAGCAATTAGGAGCGCGTCACTATTGTGGTATTTGTTGAGTTTATATACACATTGGATGAGTATGTGTTTGGTGCTGACGAACCTATTTTTAAGAATATTTTTAAAAATATTTAGTGGCTCACAAGTTCAATTTATAAGTTACAAATTTTGTAATTAGACATTTTACTTAGTATGGAAGCTAATGAGGAAGTGTAGCCAAAGTTTTTTTGCTGTACTTCTCCTGTGGATTACAGGAGTGCAGTTTGTTCTGCACTCCTGCGACCCAATTTCAGCTGACTGTGGGCTGGAGACCGCTGTTGGCTGATGTCACTCAGCTGGTCCAGGCTGGGGAAAGATCCTGACTTTAAAGTCGGGATCCACCCCAGCATCTGGAGCGACACCTGGCTCAGCCACTCAGTGAGCCACTAAGAGCCTGAGCCAGCTGTTTCCTCCTCCTCCACAGCCCAGAGCTCCAGTGAGTGCTGGGGGGGGGGGGGGCAGATCAGACAACGTTCACTGACAGTCACCATTCTCTGCTCAGCGTGGCTGTGAGAACTCAGAGATAAGCAGCCATGTGATCGCTGAGTTATCACCCTTAGAGTCGGGGGGGGACAGATGCAGCACGCACCGATGCTGCATCTTCCTAGGTGAGTATAAATGGAAGAAAGAAAAAAACCCCATACTTCTATAGTTAAAGTTTAGGGGGTTGGGTATACAAGTTAGGTTTAATGTTAGGGGAGGGATGGGGTTAAATAATAGGATTAGGTTTCAGTGCTAGCTTAGAGGTTCGTTTTATAGTTTTTAATTTAAGATTTAAGTGTTACAGTTGGTCAACTGTTAAAAATCACTTTTCAGAGCTAGATAGTAATGAAGTTTATGTCTTACGGGGAGTTAAATGTAAACTGATTGTAAGGGAAGATGAAGTTTAAAAACAAAATAAAACTTTGCAGTAACTAAAAAAGTATCAGTTTTGCTGTATATTAGACTCCACAAGAAAAAAATACTTCCCTTTCCCCATTTTATTGCCATCCTGATCTGCTGCTGCAGTCCGAAACATTCTTGTGCTTATTCCAGCTCTCACAAAGCTAAAACGTGCTCAGGATTAAGCATGCTCACTCTTTTTCCATGTCAGAGCGCTTGGGTAAGATGACTGGCCACTCACAAAGGAACAAATTCACAGTGGGAAGGAATTTTTGATGGGTTCTTGAGGCTGATCATATCAGCATAGGAGTTCTGAGGAAATATGAACTGCTATAGAGCAAACCTGTT